AACATCTTCATTACTCAAGGCTGAGGAGTCATGCTCAGCTCAAGCTCTGGGTGGCCGCAACGTTAAGGGGGCCATGCTCTATGTGGATTTCAGTTCGTGTTCTAGCTTGACTCTTGTTAGTTCTGGGACCTTGGGCAACTGAGCCCCTCTGTGCTCCATTTGTACAAGAGATTCAGTACAAAGCTCTTGCCTCATGAGGTTGTTATCAGGAGTGTATGACTAACATATGAAATATCTAGTAGGACTCAACAACCAGTGTTAAGAAGTATTCACTTGTGTTGCCACCATTAGGATTGAAGATCTCATAACCCACCCAGTTTGCCTGTTAACACCATTTATAAACTTTTCCACACATCCTGCATTCCTCTTTAAAAATTTTAAAATTAATTAATTAATTTTAATCAGGTATATATGGCAGCAGAATGCATTTTGATTCATTGTACATAATTGCAGCACAACTTTACATTTCTATGGTCATACATACACTATGTACAACCATATATGCAGTCATATATGTACCTAGGGTAATGATGTCCATCTCATTCCAACATTTTTTTCTGCCCCCATGCACCCTCCCTACCCTCCCTTTTCTTTGCCCAATCAAAGTTTCTCCATTTTTCCTATGCTCCCTAGCCCCCCTGCTCATATGGATCAGCATCCACTTATCAGAGAGAACATTCGGCCTTTGTTTTTTGGGGATTGGCTTACTTCTCTTACCATGATATTCTCCACCTCCATCCATTTACCTGAAAATGCCATAATTTTATTCTCTTTTAATGCTGAATAATATTTCATTGTGTATACATACAAATTTCTTTATCCATTCATCCTTTGTGGGGCATCTAGGTTGCTTTCACAGTTTACTATTGTGAATTGAGCTGCTGAACATTGATGTGGCTGCATTACTATAGTGTGTGAATTTTAAGTCCTTTGGGTATAGACTGAGGAGTGGGATAGCTGGCTTAAATGGTGCTTCCATTCCAAGTTTTCTAAAGAATCTCCATACTGCTTTTCAGATTGGTTGCACCAATTTGCAGTCCCACCAGCAATGTATGAGTGTGCATTTTTCCCCACATCCTTGCCAACATTTATTGTTGGCTGTATTCTTGATAACTGCCATTCTGACTGGCGTGAAATGCAAACTTAGTTTTGATTTTCATTTCTCCAATTACTAGATTGTTCAACATTTTTTCATATATTTGTTGATTGAATACATATCTTCTTCTGAAAAATGTCTGTTCAGCTCCTTAGCCCATTTATTGATTGGGTTGTTTGTTCTTGTAGTGTTAAGTTTTGTGAATTCTTTTTATATGCTGGAGATTAGTGCTCTATCTGGCATGTGTGTAGCAAAAATTTGTTTCCAAAATATAGGGTTTCTGTTCACCTCATTGATTATTTCCTTTGCTGAGAGGAAGCTTTTTAATTTGAGTCCATTCTATTTATTAATTCTTGATTTTGTTTCTTGTGCTTTAGGAGTCTTGTTAAGGAAGTCAGGGCCTAATCTGACATGATGAAAATTTCGTCTATGTTTGCATTGCTGGCCCAACACACCAACTCAGTCCATAGAAACCTGAGCTTTTCTTAATCCTCAGGAGACCTGTACCTCCTTGGGGTTGCCTTGTGACGGGGGATATATTACTATCTTCCTCAACTCAAACAGCATATTGTAATATCCCTCACTTATCTAATATTTCATACTCACTTGCATTTAATAATTTTATTCTTCTTGGAAAGCTTTATTTATATTCAGTGCCTTTGTTGATACCTAGTTGCAGAAATACTGTTTCTATGTTGACTATAAAAACAGTTTAAGCTTCCCCCCCTCTGAATCCATTCTCTAATGTTCTAGTCTCATTTAAAAAAAAAATACATCTAAAATATTTTTTGTCTCCCGAACAACCTTCACCGGCTAAGAAATTCCACAGAGACTACTCAGCCTGGCATATAGGACCTTTCTCATTATAATCTTAACACCCTTTCCAGAACACATCCCATGCTTCCTGAATATCTTCAGTCCTTTGCTATCTCTAGTCTCTCCATATTGCTGTCTTCTCTTTAAACTCATCACCTCCTTTGTTAGAGTATTTTAAAGTGCATTTCAAATTTGACTTTATTCAGACATCATTTTCTTGATTGTCCCTCACCAAAAACACATTGATCTTTAATTCCATGGGCATATCTTGATACTTCTTGGTGTTATGCTTATACCTCTTCAGAGCCAAATACTTGTTTTATCATAATCACTCCTCAATCAACGTGCAACATGTAAGCGTAATTGGACTACAAGTGCTTTATATGGTGTTTTCAATTATGAGTAGTGACCATTGCAGTGACTTCTCCTAGTTGAGTAAATTTTTTGCTGCTGCTTTGTTGCTTACACAGGGACTACATCTACAAAGCAATTAGCCCAGGCTTGCAATTTAGCTTCTTGTGCTTATTACCTTCTTTCCAACTAGCCTGCAGAATTCACACATGACTCAGTTCTTCCCCTAAAGCCAGCTGACTCCTTGTCAGAATACAGAATTCTAAGGACCCAGATTTTTATTTTGTTCATATTTATTTCTCTAAGGAGAGCAAGTGGATCCAGAGAATAACTGTATTGGTTTTAGGTGTGCTATAATTTACAAAAATAAAATCTATACTCCTGTGGATAAGCTTTACTTTTGTACAGATCTTCCATAGAAACAAGCAGATTTTTACTAAATGAAATTAAGATTCTTTTTAATTTAGGTATTCATATATTATTTTAAAATATAGATACTATATTATTTTGAAACATCACATAACCATTATAGCTGTTGACTGAACAGGGTAAGGCCATAGTTTTTTCATCTAGTATTTAATTGAATTAAATCTGTATTTAAACATTCTTTAAATTGATCAAATCAAAACTTTAGTAATCTATTGTAAAAAAAATTCTAGCAATTTTGTTATTTTGCATAATCATATTTCTTTCCATAAAAGTCATATTTCCTTCCTGTTAGAGAAAATTTGCATAATGACCTATTTTATCTTTTTTCTACTTATTAGTGAACAGCTGGTATGCCAAACCTAAATTAATAATACAAAGCTAACACACTTTCACATAATTATACGTACCAAAATTTGTGATGAAAATTAAAAGATTACTCAATTATATTGTGTTAGAATTATCTCCGTCTTAAAATTGCTTCCACATTATTCCAATGGGTGTCTGTCTATAAGTTCAATGCAGAAAAGACCAAGTGATTTTCATAATAAAACTTGAGTCATCACTTATGTATTTGAGCTTTCATTCAAATTTGATTCCTTTTTTCCTTCAGTTTTCTATAGGTATAATTGCAAGAAAAAAAATACATATCTTTAAGGTGTACAATATGGATGTTTTGATGTGCATATGCCTATGACATGATTATGAAAATCAAAGTCATAAACTTATCTATCAGTACATGTAGTTACTATTTGTGTGTGTCTTAGAATATTTCAAGTATAAAATACAGGTGTATGTTTGAACATATACCCATAAAAATGATTGCTGGATTATATGGTAGCTGTATTTTTATTTTTTTCAGAAATCCTCATGCTGCTTCGCATAATGACTCCAGCAAATTATATTCCCGTCACAAAAGAGCTCACTTTTGTCCAAATCCTTGCCAACACTTGTTATTATTTGCCTTTTGATAATTATGTTCCTTCAGGGGTAATATAATATCATGGTTTTGATTTCGTTTTTATAATAGAGATATTGAATACATTTTTTGCACCTGTTTACCCATTTTTCTGTTATTGCTGGAAATTTTTAATTATTTTTATCTATTAATGTATGTGGTTTCCTTATATATTCTGGATTTAGTCTCAAATGAGATGCATAGTTAAGCAGATACTTTTTTCCCATTCTATAGGTTGCCTTTCTAGTTTGTTGATTGATCCTTTTGGTGTTCCTTTTCTGGAGGGTGGGAGGAAAAAGAGGATTGAACTCAGGGGCACTTTACCTCTGAGCCACATCCCCAGAACTATTTATTTATTTATTTATTTATTTATTTATTTATTTATTTATTTATATGAGACAAGGTCTTGTTAAGTTACTCAGGGCCTTGGTAAATTGCTGAGGCTGGCATTGAACTTGAGATTCTCCTGCCTCAGCCTCCTTAGCCATTGGGATTATAGATGTGCAACACTGTGCCCAGTGCTGTTCAGAAGCTTTTTAATTTGACATAACCCCACTTGTTTATATTTGCCTTTGTTTCATGCACTGCTCTTGTTATCTCCATAAAATCATTTCTAAGATCACCTTTAAGGATCTTTCTCCTGGTTTTCTCCTAGGAATTTTATGGTATTGAATCTTCAATTCTAGTATTTAATTTCTTTCAAGTTGATGTTTGTGTATGTTATTAGATAATGGTCCAATCTCATTATTTTGGTGTGATATCAAGTTTTTCTGACACCATTTATTGAAGAAACCCTACTTTCCGTATTGTGTATTCTTGGAATGGTTGCTGAAGATTAGTTGAACAATGCCTATGCATGCATTCACTTAAGGGCTTTGTAAAATTGTCAAAAGAGCTAATATGCTCTAATCAATCTGCTAATAAGTTATGAAATGATATGGGTGGTTATGTTTTTTCTCTTGATCTAGCCTGTGTATATGAATCCATTTGATTCAAATTTCCTAAAATTCAGGTTTAGGACTTTTAAAGGGACTTTTAAAAGTCAGAGGAGGAGACACAGGTTGATGATGGCTTGGAGAGGAGGTGTTTATGCAGATCCTTCACCTGACTGACTTTTGCCAACCTGTGAACGTGGTGGGGCACAGCAGCACTTCCCTCCTAACTCCACCTGGAGAAGTGCTTTCTTGTCAGAAAGCTCTTGTGGGAACACCTGATGCTGAGTTTATAGATTAGGAGATCTTGTGAATCTTTAAAACCTTTAAATACAATATTTCCTCTTTGGGAAAACAAAAATAAAATAAAATAAAATAAAATAAAATAAAATAATTCATGTGTCCTTGCCCTAAATTGTAGGAGAAGATTTTGAAGATGTACCGGCTCCAAAGACAGTTAAAGGTGAGTTTGTTATGGTTAGTTCATTTGCACATTTTCTCTCAAGGCTGAGATGTTTTGTCTGTATTGTTTTATTTAAATATTCTTGATTTCTAGGCAACAGTTACATGGTAGAAAAATGTTTAATAAAAAGATTTTAAATATTATTTAGGAAATATGTCTTCTTGCAAATTGAAGGAACTTCTTTACAACTGAGTATCAGATGTATTTATTGACTAATCTAGGAGACCATTCCTTCACAGTTTTCCTTTCATAAAGGAGTACAAAATGACTATTTCATCAAGTATGACTTTTTACTAAGAAAATTTGAGATGTCATCTCTACTATAGTACTATTATAAAGGATGGAAGGGAAGGAGGAGATAAAAAATAAAGATGAAGAAGGAAAGGAAAGGATAGGAAAGGAAGGCAGGATTCAAACCCTCTAAACCAGAGGACAGGCACACAGAAAAACTGGCCATTTCCAGACGAAAATTCTTACTCAGATCTTTCTAGAACAAAATGTCTCCATCTGAGAAGTGAGGGTTTGAGCAAACTTGATGAGTTTTTATTGTTTTCTGAAGGTTTCCTCACTTGCTAGTTTGGACTTGACATAAAATGAGTACTTTCTATTTTACTTCCAACATTTTCTGTGGACAACGAGAGTTTGCTTAGGTGCTCTTCTGCCTATCAAAGTATAAGTGCTGTAGCAATGCCCAGACTTAACTATGTGGAAAGTTCTGTGTTGAGAAATGCACAAGGAAATAAATTGGTACCTAAGTGTTAAGAAATGAAAGCTGAGATTTTTCACTTGTTTTAAGACACTTTTCTGAGGAATTCATGAACTCTTGTTGATGGAAATGTAAATTAATACAGTACTGCCCTATGTTATGGGGATTGCTTTAAAAACTAATAATAGAACTACCATATGTTCTAACAATCCAACTGCTTGAATATATCCAAAGGGCATTAAATCATTATACCAAAATATTACTTGCACTCCCTTATCTATTGCTGCACTATTAATAATAGCTGAGGTAGGGAATAAATCTAGATGCCAATTAGCAGATGAATTAATAAAGAAAATATGGTACGTAAACACAATGGAATATTTCTTAACCATGAAGAGGAGTGAAATCCTGTCATTTGCAGCAATGTGAATTGAATTGGAAGTTATGATGTTGAGTGATATTAACTAGACACAGGAAAACCAAATGTTCTCACTCATCGATAGAAACTAAATATTCACTCTTATACAAGAACAGAGTGGAATTGTAGTCACTAGAGACTGGGACGTATAGGAGTGTGGGAGGGGGGATATAAGAAGTTATATAAGGGGATTAAGCACCTTTAGCAAAGAAGAATTAGTTTTGATTTTCTATAACACAGTAGGGTAAATATTGGTTAAAATAACGTAGGATATATTTCAAAATGACTGAAAGAATAAGAAATTCCCAACAAATAAAAATGATTAACATTTGAAAAGATGGAAGTTTTTAGAGCCAGATCCCACCCTTACTATAATATAAGTCTGAGCATCAAAGACCTCTTCACAAGAAACAAATTATTGTCATCCAGTCCTTGTCCCTAAATGTCCTACACATTGGGGCCAATTTTCTATTTAAGAAATTGACCTAGCCTGCTGCTTCCTCTTCCATTGGTTGTCCTCCCAGCTCTGGCTCTTGCCCATTAAATGTTACAAGGAAAGTCTGAATATAACCTGAATAAAATCCTAGAGTGTACTATAAAGCGGAAAAGTAGCTCCTGTTTCTTTCATATTGTGCTCTTGTGTAGACATTCTCAGGATATTTATTCTCATAATTATTCTCATAAACAATATCTGTAAATGTATTAATATTTACTTTCACATTTTTGTATCTTCTAGAAACTGAAGATGTATCTTCCCCAAAGAAGCAAAAAAGTGAGTTTATAATTAGGTGTCAATGATAAAGTCATTCTGCATGAAAGATGCTATGTATAAATTTAAGTTTTAGACCCTTTCAAAATGAACAGTATTAGAAGAAAAAGAATTTTAGCACAGATATTAAGGATAACATTAAAGTAGGTCATTTATATTTCAAAGTGAGGTTTGTCATTTTTTGTGTCAGGCAAGAGGCACATAGTTGGGAGAATTACGAATAATGATCAAAGTGGCATTTATATCCAGCCATTCTACACTGTTCTGATCCTGAGTACTCTGGCTGAATCCTGCTAAATGTGTGTTACTGTCTGCTGTATAATAGATCACTTGAAGTGATATGCTGAACTTTTTTTATATCAAGTAGAAGAAATGTAGAAATAGGTTTTAACAATTCAATTGCTGGGAAATTCACTTCTAAGACTCAAGGTTCTTATTGATTTTTCTTTTTAAGATATATGGCAGGATCTTAACATTCAGTTTTGGGGATTCTTGATTTTAGAATGCTATCAACATTCATATGCAGTTGCAAAATTCAGTGTTCAGTTCCTGGGATTCTTATTATCCCAGTACCTCCAAATTAGACATTTTTGTTCTGAAAGTAAAGTGGTGTAAGTTTTGAATCTACATATGTATTAAATAAAATCACCACCGGCAGACTAGATGAAGCAATTTTTGAAATGGATATAACTAAAGTTTGATTCACATTATGCTTTAAAAGTAAAGAAATAGACATTATCTGAGAAAATGATGTCATTGAGTTCTGTATTGCCTCTTATATGTATTTCTGGAGGAAATTACTAAAATATGTTTTATAACAGTAAATGTTTCTTAGTCTGCATTAATAGTTTATTCACCGAAAAACTATTGCGTGTTTACTATGTTCCAAATATTGCTTTAATTGCTGAGACTACTGCAACAGATAAGAAAGATATCAATTATAATAATAAATATAGAAAAATAGTCTTATGATACTTTTGGGTATTATTAAAAATTCCACAAGAAAAGGAAATATATATCAGTCTGCATGTTTCCAATGTATACAGCAAACACTTTTCCAATTGATAAGTAGTGATAAGTTGCAGCTATGTAACACAGACACTTGAAATATCTTATTTCATTAATGAATATTAAAACATAATTCAACAGGAGTAGGGGGATTATGCCAATGCCAATTTTCTGGTTGGGATATTATAATACAGTTTTGCAATATACTGCCTTTTGTAGAAACTAGGCAAGCAAATAGTATGTCTCGGTATTATTTTTTGCTTATGCATCTAATATTTTCCAAAAATAAAAATTTTAATTAAAAATAAATAAAATATTTTTAGTAAATAGCTATCAAATATTCTAAGATCACTTGGGGGAACTTATTACATAAAAGATAATACTTCCTATTTTCTTCTCACTATGAAGTTTTTCTATATAGCTTGGTATTCATGAGCCTTTTATATAAACTCTAAATTTGCAACCATAATGATATTTTCATTATTAGCTTTTTCCATGTCCATTAAGTAAATAGGTCAGGAAAGTGCCTACATTTATCTGAAGTGGATAAATGTCGCCATCCCTCTCTGGCCTGTCCAACCCCCCAAATCTCATAACCTCCACACCTGGGGAAGATGAGAGATGTGTTATTTCCTCTGTTTGAGGCTAGAATAAAACAGAAAATAATCCTAGATCAGATGCTGTGGACAGAATAAAAACTAAACATAAATTTTCTCCAAACTAATTTCATTCCTGAAAACCAAGTGACTGAGGTCACTGCTTCACTGATGGAGTCAGAATAATCCTTGCTGCTTCTCTCAGCTTCCTTCTACCCATGCTTGGCTTTTCCAGTTTCATAAGCCCAAGTTTCATATAGATTTGTCTACCTCTCCTAAGTCTCACATGATCACTAACTTTTTTTTTTTTCTTTTACTGGCCCTCTGTAAAAAGTCTGCAAAAAAAGTGGTTGTTTAGAAGAATGCAAATGGATAGGATGCAAAACAGTGGAGCAAGCATCAGTAGGTGCTCACGATAGTAGGGAGAGAATTAGCTCTCCATCTTTTAACAAAGCTGTTCCTGGGAATTGAGGCTGAGTGCAGAGCTCACACTGAATCCACTGCACTATTCACCCCTGCTCGTCTTTAATTTTCCTGTGTTGCTTTCTCCTCAGAGTTGTTACCTGGGAGCAGTTCCTAAAAGAATAATAAGCTGCCTCAGGAGAGCTCTCTAAAATGAAAACTAATGAAAAATTTCAGGACTCTAAGAACCATTCTCTCTGTGATATAATGCACACACGCACACACACACGGTATTTAGAATATTGATAAGATCATGTTTTGAAACTTGTTCCTAGGTAACTGTCCCTAGATGGCTATGCACATCAATGTACACCAAGTATTTTGATGTTCTTGTGCAAGCCATTTATATTATGAGTTCCTAAGGCCTTACCAGGAAGGATTTTTAAGTATCTCACCTATGCTGATGCATTTAATTTCCACTTTTATGTAAGGTTTTTGTTGTCTTGATTTTATAAATGAAGTATCCAAGACACGGAGAGGTTCCATTAGAGGTTTACTTGCCAGTAGCTGTGTGGGTGATCCAACTGTGGAACCTGAGACTGTACCTACAGTGCCGTACGACCTCAGTGCTCTAGCTTTATTCCTGCTCATAAATTACGCTTGTTTTAACAGACCACCATGCTTTCTTCCTTAGGTCCCATCAGTTTCTTCCAGTGTGTTTACTTGGATGGGTACAATGGCTATGGATTTCAGTTTCCTGTCACTCCTGCACAACACCCTGGAGAGAACCCTGGCAAGCCAAATTCTCCAGGACAAAAGTAACAGGGACAGTAGAAACACATACATGACCCTTATAAGTGCTTTAAAATTATGAAAATGGGATCTTCTATTTTGTTCACAGTGACACAGGCAATGGAAATCATGCAATCCATTTTTTTTTGGTTTTTTTTAATAACATTTTACTCTTCTGCCTGGTGTAGAGACAGGGTAGTCAAAGGGATTGAATAATAAGCAAACATGTTGAAGGGTCTGGTGATCAAGAATATGTTATTAGTGTTTGTTGCTTTGGAGTAGGAGATGCTTATATTTTTCTATTTCCACTCACTGGAAGGTTGCACACAAATTAATTTAAAGTTTAAACTTCATATTGGTCTTTTAAATGTGATTGATGCAATTACAAAATGAAAATCCTGATTTCAGTTTGATTTTCATTTTTCAAATAGTAATACAGACTGCATTCTAAATTTAAAGGGTACAACAGCTTATTTTAAAGTGACTCTTCTGTGTCATGTGGATATCTAAGCTCAATTTACTTAATAAGATGATGCTGAATAGTTTCATTCTGTTTAAGCTGTTTCTATTTTAGTGGTGTCAGTGCTCTAGAATGGATAACACTTGCACCAAAGAGTTCCTTGTGATATTCTTAGAGCTCAAAATGTCTCTGAACTTTAGACATGAAAAGATTAAAAAACAAATGCTTGGTGAATCTTATCTCTAAGATTAATCATGAACTACAATTAAGACATTCACTCCAGTAGATGTAAACCTCCAATTAGGCAGGTCTGCTGAGTTATTTGCTTGAAATATAAATAAATGTAATGGGGATTTTCAGATTTCTCCACACTGTTTCTTCATGAAATTGTCACCTGGATGAAACTTTAGATCAATGATTAAATGTGGGTGACAGATGCAAAATTATTTAATTTCACTTAAATACATTATCTTGGTGAAATTTTCTTTTCTTTTTCAAAATGAAAAAATATGAGTGCCATCAAAGTTTAAGGGAGACATTTTAACCATGGTTGTCTTCATGAGATATCTTACTTGCTTTCAGGTAATGGGTGATCTTTGCTCATGACATGGATGATGATTTTTAACTTTCTTGACATTGTATCACTGGAGATGACTGTTATGGTTTTGTCATCTTCCTAATGATACACGTACTCAGGTTCTTACAACATTTTTCTATCAGCTCTGAAAGTCATGTCTCTGCAATCTAATATCATGTTTACAATTGCAAATGAACTTACGACAAAGTAACTCATTAATAATTTGAGTTATTCTTTCTGGTGTTATAATGATTTTGCAAGGTCTAAGCTAGCCAGAACCTATATAGTCACGTGATTTATTTTCAAGGACTACGACCAACTAAGGTTGTTGAGACTCAAGGTATGATCAGTTTTACAAAAATCCTTAGTAATACATTCATTATTAATAATGGATTTCCACGGACTTTTGTGGAAGAAGTTGGTCTTGGCCATGTAATGGGAGACCCAATATACACCACAAAAGCCAACATTACAATAAACCAGATTAAAAGCATCCTTTTTTTGTGGGGAGGGGGTGACCTGGAAGTGTGTAATTTCAGGTCTGACCAGATGGTACCATCTTTCAAAGCCCCTTCGTATACTGATGTTCATTTATAAGTAGGACAGTGGATAATGTTTATTGTTCAACTGTTCCTCTACCTGTTATAATTACTAGGAAAAGGAGTGGGAGAAAATATGATAGCCATCTTATGTCTTATAGCACAGAATGGTTTATCCATTGAATGGCTATCTTTCAATGACTATATATTGAGCAGTTACTCTTTCTATGCTATGTTAGGCACTGAACTTCATAGGAAAAATACAAGGATAAATTCTGTTCCTACTGCTATCCTGACATAGTATGTGACCTTAAAAACCACCAAATGGACTGTTTGTTTCTCTCTGTGTAAAATAGGGATATCAAGACACACAGCCTTATATCTCACATCACCTCATATCTTACAGAAGTACTATGAAGATTGATACAATATCTTGATATGGATATAATATTTAAGTAAATTTCTGAATTAATACTTTTGGATATTGAACTGTTTTTCTCTCTGAGAGGTTTTCTATATTACATTGTCATTTATTTCACTCTCATTGTGAAAACTGATAAATATTAAAATGTAGTGTACTTTGTTGAAATTAGAATTAAAATGAACAATTTAAATGTAGACAGCATAATAATTATAAAGGTTTATCTGATTTAAGTTATAATAATAGAACTTTAGATATGTCATCTAAACTGTCATCTGTAGGTTTCCATCAAATAAAAAATACTTTTGATCCTTTCAAGTTTGGTGTCTTACATTTTCAAAGAAAATTATAAATAATAAATTGGGTCTTTTTCTTTAATAGTTTCCTCATAGTTTATGACATATTGGTTTATTGATAGTTTTGTGTCATAAATGCTTAAATATGCAAACATTAATAATTGTTTAATTCATATTTGCCCAGGAGATATGAGCTACCCTTTCCTCTAGTTACTCCATACCCTCATCCTTTCTTAGTAGTGGAAAGTGTGTGAAAAATAAAAATTAATTACCAAAAGTTATAAACTTTTTTTTCAGTCTTTATAAAGTCTGAAAAATTACCATTCAAATGAGGTAAAGATTTTTTGTAATTAACCCCTTGAAAAGTGCTTCTATGTTGACTCATTCTGGTATATACTTGTCAAAACTTCATAGAAGTACTGACCATGCGTATTTAATGATTCAGTTTATTTTCTTGATTAATTTGGCTGAGACAAAAAAAGCAAAGAGAATAACAAATACTGCTGATAGAAAACTCAAAGATCATCTGGTCAACCTGTCATATACAAAAAAATAGAAATATTTCCTACAGAAACTCAAATATTAAGCCAGGCACCTGTAATCCCTGTAGCTTGGGAGGCTGAGGCAGGGGGATTGAGAGTTCAAACCCAGCCTCAGCAAGAGTGAGGTGGTAGGCAACTCAGTGAGACCCTGTCTCTAAATAAAATACAAAATAGAGCTGGGGATGTGGCTCAGTGGTTGAGCACCCCTGTGTTCAATCCCTGGTACCCCCTGCCAGAAAGAAACTCAATTATTTGCTCAAAGTCTCTCAAGTCAAAACAGGCCTATAATTTTAGTCAATTAATTACCAATGCCCTTGACTACTTTCCTCAGGTGTTACTATACCATTAGCTCCTTATTCTAGCATCCCATCCATCTTTCAAACTGTGATAGAAAATGTCATGTTTTATAGGAACACTTAATTTTTCTACTTGAATATTGAAAAGAACCATAAAAGTACATCTTACTCACTTTCTTTAGATATATAGAAAATGATTCTTGAGAGGTTAGGTGACATGATTAGGGATATCTAGCTTATTAGTTGCAGAATTACATAAACTCAGTATTTTTTTCCTAATCCTGTACATATCCTTCCTGCCCAATGTGACTCCTTATGATTCCTTTACTGTCTTAAGAGCTTCCTTCTATTATTTTTAAGCTTATTAAGACATGGAAACTGAGAACAACTTCCCCTAACTGGCCTCCTTGAGACCTTCTTTGTTCTATCCCTTTTAGAATTTTATCAATATCATCCTGTACTTCCCCCCTTGTTCATATTTTCTATAAAACATTGAAGTGTTGAGAACTACAATAGTGATTCTTGATTTCTCATACCACTGCATTTGACTCTAAGCCATGTGCCCTTCTCAGTATCATCAAATTCCTTATCTATGCTCTTTTTGAACTTGTAGCGAGAACTAATTACTTGCATTAAGTCATTGTGGCAATTTTTGCTTTTTTACTCACCACATCCAAAACATTCTTAAACAGCTTAATAACAGGTTGGTATACTAGTCCATGCTTCTGAGTACATCTGCCAGACAGCTGTGTTTTGAGAACCAGTGTGCTGTGGTGGAGAGCCCACTGGACAAGTAGCCCTCAAACCTGAGGTTAGACTCCTGCTAGAAGTAACACTGATCATTTATCTTCATTGATCTTCATTTCTTATCTCTAAGTAAAAATAAATGCTCCTATGCTACAATGACTTTGATCTTTGTTGAGGTAAGTACCCTGTATAGAGAATTTGCTGATAGGACCTTTGAGTTTTGTTATTAAGTAATCCAAAAGTACCCTGAACCGAGGACCTCATGTTACTACGTGGTATGAACCAGAGCAGCAAGTAAAAATCAGAACTGTATAGGCATGAACAAAAATGGGAACATGGCCACTAGCAAAAACAATTCCTCTTTTACAAAAATATTTCAGTGCTTTGTGACATTTTTGTGGAGCTTTTATAAATCAGTGATAACAGAATATCCTTCAACCCACTGAATGAAAAGCTGAGATGGAACAGTGATTCACATACCCCAACACACTGTCATAAAATTCAGTATTCATTAAAAGGTCTAAAGGTGTTCCAGAAATGTGTGAGCAAGTGATGTACTGAAATAAATACTAACTATAGCATCTGCAAACATTAAAACCTTTAGCATATGTCTTTTGTTCAGGAAAGGGGCATTGCATTCTGTCTGCTTATCACTTACACACACACACACACAAACAAATACACACACACAACTCATTGAGAAACTACATACATGTCTTAAACGCAAACATGGATGCAATTGATCTGATCTGAATGGAAGATTTATTCTCTACAAATGATGTAATATTTTCTATAAGAGGAAAGGAAAGCTATGAATTTCAGCAATTTTGAGAAACAATGAAGCAAACAAACAAATTATTTTCCTCTTTTGGACATTTATGTATGAAAGAATATTTTAAAATTGGAAATGTATGAACCTTGTTCAAAAAAGTATCCTTTCACCTCAGTTCCCTGCCCACTCCACTACAGTCTACAGCAAATCACAGTTATAATCTTATGTATCTATTATCTGAAAATACAAATAAAACAAATACATATTTTATTACACAGATATTACATACTATAGACATCATTTGGTACTTTCCTCTATTAAAATGTATACTGAATTATTTTTATACCAATATGTACATAGCTTCTTCATTAATGTAGCTAGATACAGATGAGGTGGACCTTAAACTCACAGTATAGTACATATGTTTCAAGTATAGAATTTGATGCATTTATGAGATCATGACCTGGATCAAAATAAGAACATTAACAGACCTCCAAAGGTTCAGTCATAGCCCAGCCAGTAAATGGCTCCTGTTATCACAATTCTGATTTCTATCACCAAGTAATTACTTTAAGCATTTTGACCATTGTATGAATGAAATTGTAAATTGCCTAGTTTCAGTGCTAGGTGTTTTTCTTAATATTGCATAGGTGAGACATATTCACTTTGTTGCATTTACAAGTAATTTACTCTTTTTATTACTTCATATATTCATGTATGTTTATACTGAAGAATTTATTTTACAATATATTATATGAGGGAATTTGGAATGTCTCCATTTTTTTTCTAATAAAAATATCATGCTGTTAGCACTCTTGTTAGTGTCTTTTACTATATATATATGTGCAGGGGCAGGGAGGGCATTATATACAAGAGTAGAATTGCTGGCTTGTGGAGTAGGAGAATGTTCATCTTAGCAGATAATACTGACAGTTTTCTAACTGGTTGTACCAATTTAAGCTCTACCAACAAAGGATAAAGGCCCCAGTTGCTCTAGCTCCTTGCCAACATTTATTATCATCTATTTTGCAATCCAGATGGCATTCAATTCATGCATATTTTGTAAAGTAGACTTGAAAGCTTATTTTTTCCTCATGAACATAGAGACAACATGGCAATTGTTAATCCTGACAAGACATTTCTTTTCCAGTGTGATATGGGAATGTCTTCATTGTAAAAGAAATATATATGTGTGAGTCTGCTTCTGACTTATCTACTCAGTTCCTTTGGTCTATTTACATATTCATGGGCCAAAACTGCATGGTTTAATTATGGTAGCATTACAACAGGTGTTGATAAGTGAAAAGTTACTCATGTCAATGTATTTTCTTCGTAGTGGTCTTCACTGTCCTTCACTTTCTGATATTATCCTTTGGACCCTTTTCTACTTCATTAATTTTGCTCTTATATTTATAAAAAAATAACCTCATGTTTTATTTGTTACTTTTCCTACTTTAAGATAGATGATTTCACCTCTAATTCTTTTTTCAAATATACACTAAAGTGTATGTGAAAATATGTATAAATAATTATTATAATGTATAATATTTAACTTCACAGATTGTTTTAGCATCCAACATATTTTGCCATATTTCATTAATTAACATTAAGTTGAAAACATTCATTTATTTCCATTGTGATTATTTTTAACATCACAGGTCATTAAAAGCATATTGCTTAATTGTGAACAATTATGAATTCACTGATTTAAACATTAATTTCACAGTGTGATTTCAATCTTTTTAAATGTGTTGAGGTATTCTTTATTGATCACAATATGTTCATTTGAAAAACAATTGTATGCTCCCTGATTGATTAATAAAATACATGCTTCAGACAGCCCAGCCAACACCCGCAGAGCACAGGCAGTCCCAGGAGAGCATAGCCAACGCCTGTGGAGTCCACACTGGGTCCCAGATGTATCTTTGAAAACATTGCCCAACACCACACTCCTCCTCCAACCTGACCTGACACTCCATCACTGAAAATAGCCTCCTCCATTTGGAACATCATCATTGCCATCTTTAGTTGTGGCAACTCCCAGGTTGGAACACCGGGTGTGTACATTATAATGAAAATGCCTAGCATAGAGAATATTGAGAGAATCTTAAAAGCCATCAGAGAAAGGAATCAGATTACATATAGGGGAAAAACAATTAAGACATCTATAGATTTTTTAACACAAACCCTGAAAGCTAGAAGATCCTGGAACAACATATACCAAGCTCTGAAAGAAAATGGATGTCAACCAACAATCTTATATACATCAAAATAAAGCTTTAGATTTAATGATGAAATAAAATCCTTCCATGATAAACAAAAGTTAAAAGAATTTACAGCTAGGAAGCTGGAACTACAGAACATCTTCAGCAAAATATTCCATCAGAAAAAAATTAAAAACAACAATGTAAAGCACCAAAGATATTACACTAAAGGAAAAACTAATCAAAGAAGAAACCAAGTCAGTTAAATATCAAAAATGATTAAGAATGACTGGAAATAAAAATCATGTCTCAATAATAATTCTGAATGTTAATGGCTCTAGCTCACCAATCAAAAGACACAGATTAACAGATTGGATTAAAAGAATGACCCAACAATATTCTAACTCTAAAAGACACATCTCATAGAAAAAGACATCACAGGCTGAAGGTGAAAGGTTGGA